CCCCCCCCCCTCCCCGCCCCATGTGCGCCATATTGAGTAACCTCCCTCCACCCCCACCTTGGAACCCATGTGTCATACTCAGGAACGCGGGTGCGCCTCCGTCACATCGCGGTGACGGGCTGGGGACAACGGGAGGGGTTGAGTTGCCGCCACCAGCCAGCGGTGATGAGGCATCTCGTCAGTGGAGGGGGCGGGGGGAGGGGGAAGGGGGTTGGTCAGAGCGGCCGTCGCTCTCGACACTTCGAACAGTGGACGTGTAGTTTCGTGTGTGTGCGAAAGGTGTGGTTGTTCGTTATCCGTGTGTTTGAGCCGTTCTTCAGCCTTGATGATTATCACAAATGATCTTCGTAGAGTGCTTTGTTTTCTAAGGGCAGGGTTGTTTGGAGAGGGAGGGGCGTGCTGTTACCCCTTGACAGAGAGAGCGTTCCGCAGTTGATGCGTGGGTTCTTGTTCACATGGGCAGTGTTTTCCGTTTTTGTTCCAGGATGCTTCCGATGCGGAGGCAGGCAGCACCTTCGACTCTTGCCTTCTCGGTTGAGGTGTGTTTCTCGCTCACAGGAAGTCGTTGCGTTGTAGCGAGACGCGGTATAAAAGGTGGCGTGGGCGATGTTTTCTTGGTGTCACGGTGGTGGTGTCTGCGGGCGTGGGTCCGTCCTCGTCTATTTGTAGCATTCTTTCAGATCCCGGGGGATGGATGGGCGGTGTCCTGTGCTTCGTCTGCAGACTCGCAAGAAACCAGCTGTAAGAAACCGACTTGCGGAGCTACGCCGCGTGGTGGGTACGAGAGCGAGCACGACGTGTTTCTTGCCGCTGCCTGCACCTTCTCACATACATTGCACGAGTATATGAAGCAACTCTTCTGTACGGGGCAGGTGCGTGAGCGTTGGAAGATGGGCCGGTCGTGTCGGTGTTTCGAGTTTCGGAACAACCCATGTTCCCTCGCACACAACGTAGCACCTCTGTGGTGAAATGCGGGGTATTCACCATGAGGTGAACCTTCTTTTCTCTGACTACATAGGTCAGCGAGGCCGTGCGCCCGCCTGATGCTCATGCGAAGCATTGCCGTCTTGTTCAACACTCTCTTCTGTACCACCTGCTTTCTGCCATGTGTTGAGGAAGGCCAACTTGGCGAGGCGCTCGTAGGAGGTGTTTCGTCGGGGAGCCAACGCACCACTACCCAGCGTAGCTTTCACACGTATCAACCAGACGTGGTGAACCCTCCCCCTGACTCTCCCAGAGCAAGCGAAAATCGTCGCGGGTATCGCTATAGCGCTCCTATAATAGCAGATATTTTCCGTTGGATGGACAACTTGAGACGATCAAGCGCTACACGTGTCGTCGCCCAAGCACGCCAAGCACTCACTTTCGCACAGAGCGGTATTGTGGCCGTCACTACAGCTGGTGATTGACTCGTCAGAAGTACACGATTACATGGCGATCAGAGCGCGAAGGATACACGAAAAAGTCTTGTTCGCCCAGAGAGACTGTTATTTTATGGAGTCCCAGATCACGGGTGAAGTCGAGTGTGCTGCCAGGACACCTCCAGGTTCGCAGGTAGGAGGCGAGATGAATCGCAGCCACTAAATATCACAACGTCACACGGTATCCTGGGGCTAGTGGACATGTAGCTGTTCGACTAAATCTGCAAAGTATCTCAGTGGCGGGGAAGATCTTCGTGCTAACGCGCATACGGGACTGTCGATATTGGCGAATGAACGATCGGGTTGCTCAGAGGATGGCGCAAGGGCGCGGCACAATTAGCACATCACGAGATCACGAGCTTCTCCACTTCTCCCCCCATTCCCCACGCGTGCCGTCCACATGCATGAGAATCAGGAAAGCATGGATGTACTGAATATCAACGTCGGTATCCTGGGTCACGTGGATTCTGGCAAGACTTCGCTTGTCAAAGCCCTCAGCACCGTCTTGTCAACAGCATCCCTGGACAAGAACCCACAGGTTCGCTCGCTTTGCTTCTGTGTACGTACAGGAGACAGCTGTATTCCCACTGCTGGTTATCTGGCTTTGCTGTCGGATGCAACGTGATTGACTCTGAGTTCGGTCATTACAACCAGATCGCCGACTGGTGTTTGGGCGTGTTACGACGTTTTTCAACCTTGCCATATGGTGACCGATATCGGCTGGGTCACTCGTATGCATATGCATTGTCTATGCATACGTAGCTCGGCGAGTGTACGAGCGGGCTCTTCCCCGAGTCACACCAATCGTGGATGTGCTGTAAGACTGTCATGGTCAGTAGCTGTAGCAGGGTAGCCTATTTGGACAATACTCACCGATTACGGCGGCTTCTTGTTGTCAAGGCAGCAGCAGTTTGATGTCCGAGGCAGGGTACATCGAATGGGGTATGCATGTGTGGTCTACAGATAAAAGCCGGATTCAAGCTCACGTCGGTATGATCCCCGCTTGTTCTGTCTCCGCGTGGCCCGCCTTCCCGGTAAACCGTGCGCACGCAGTCGCGAGAAAGGGGTATTACGCTTGACCTTGGCTTTTCTGCCTTCACCGTGCCGTTACCGGAGCATCTCCCGCAGGACCAGTACAGTCACCTACAGTTCACGCTGGTGAGTGAGCTCTGCCTCCAACACCAAAACCGAGCTACAAACGCAAGCATTTTCTGTGAAGTCGAAAAATAGCTTCCAACGTGCCTGTTGGACTCTTACTACAAAAGGAGAACTTGATCATTACGTTGACTGCGGTTCACAGCGACCGAATGCCCGCACTAGTATATCTTGTGCCTCCGGCGAGTAAATGATCTTCGTTCAAGTATCCGTCGTGACGTAGGGATTGATCAGATGGGCCGCCTGGGTTAAGGCGTGCCGTGCGTACATGCCGTTCTGGCCATCCACTTCAGGCGAGCGACTACCAACCATCGCCCAATGAAAGAGATAACTGCCATGTAAACGTGTTAACCAATGCCACGTGCTTGCTGTTCTCTCCTCGACAGCCTACCTGAGCATAAAGTGTTCGCTCGCCATCAACCGCAGCTTCATTCACGCGCACACTTCCACCCCGGCAGGTGGATTGCCCAGGACACGCTTCTCTGATCCGTACAATCATCGGTGGAGCCCAGATAATGGACATGATGTTGTTGGTGGTAGACGCGACGAAAGGAATGCAAGCCCAAACCATGGAGTGCGTGGTGATTGGAGAGGCGGTAATGTCAAGCGGTGCGGCTGTCATCGTTGTCCTCAACAAGGTCGGTGTGCGCCGCACTTGGTGCAGGGCGCCTTACCCGCTTGCTACTCACCTTTGATCCTTGTTTGATTCTTGGAATGTTTAATATTTTCGGAGTTGACATGTTTTTTAATGGCGTGCCCGAAGCCACTAGCGCTGTCGTCGATTCGTCAGTTACCGTTGTCGGCTGTCGCAAGGCCACCTTGCTCGTTTTCTGCGGGGTTTACGGTGATTTTGGACGCTGTCGTGTGCACAGGTTGATCTCATCCCGGAACAAGAGCGCAAAGCAAGACTTCGTCAAGCTGAAAAGAAAATCGCAGCGCAGCTCGCGGGGACCAAGTAAGTCCGTGAAGGATGCAGACAGCGCGCGAGCGAGTGTCTTGTGTGTGCTGAGATCATCACGGTGTGGGTGAGCAATTGGAGGCTCGCGATGTTCCTCCAGCATTTCCACATCCCTACTGTAACGCCCACTGTTGCGTCGCGCAGCGCTTGCGCATCATTTGTACCTGCCTGGCGGTAACCGCTGTTGCCAATTTTTATTCAACGGTGTCATATGACATATCCGTAGCTCAACGACTGTCCCCCCGTGTTTGTCTTGTCAGGTTATCCAGTGCTTCCTTCGTTTCTTGCGCTGCTGCGGTGGGCGGCGAGAAGACCGCAGCCTCTACTCCGCTCGCCGGTTCCCGAAGCTCCAAGGGCAGGGCCAAGAAGGCGGGGGTCCTCTCTGGCAATGTAGGAAGCGCTGAGGGTGCCACCAGACACCAAAAAGGTTCAAAGGACGTCAGGCCCGGCGGTGGTGATGATCCTGCCGAACCCCTGACCGGAATAACGCCCCCCCGCCCTCCCTCGTCATGCTCGGAGGAGACTCCGGCGATGGGAATCGAAGCAGTGGCCGGGGAGTTAACGCGGCGAGCAAGAGTGCCAAGTCGGAGAGCCTCTGCCCCTCTCTACTTTGCGTTCGACCATTGCTTTTCTGTCCGTGGGCAAGGGACCATTCTCACAGGCACTGTTCTTACCGGGGAGGTCAAGGTGCGGGTTTTGAGATCATGGCCGTAGGCGTCGGCGCATATGTAAAGCGGCAGAGGTAGGATACGCATTGTTGGTGCGGTGGAAATTTAGGAGGGAATATCTTCACCCCTCCTACAAGCCAGTATTGGTTGGGTTTCAGTCAGAAGTGCCCTGCTACATCTTTGTTGTGGTCAAAGAATATGAAGCGAATCGTGGAAACCCATCAAAACGTCGCCGCAGGTTAATCAGCTGGTCGAGCTTCCATCGCTTCGGTTGCAGAAGAAGGTCAAGTCGATGCAGATGTTTCGGAAGCCAGTATTCATCGCCAGGTACGGTTTTTCTCTGCGTTCGGCTTCCGACATATGTAATACCTTATCGTTCCGCCTAAATCCACGGATAACTCTTTTCCGGCTACCCATTTGTGTAGGGCTGGTGATCGCGTGGGGATGTGCGTGGCAAGTCTGGACGCAAAGCTCATGGAAAGAGGAGTTGTGACGACTCCGGGTTCTGTGAGACCGATTTCGGCTGCAATCGCTCTCGTCAGAAAGGTTGGTCGGTTCGAAACGTGGCGCTCACATCGATCAACGCTGCAGGGCAGAAATGCCTGGCCATAGAATAGCGCAGCAGGAAGAAGTAGTCTTGGTTCTATCGGCTATTCGGTGCAGCTTGACAAGATTCGTATCTGTTTCAACTCATGGACGCAGTGACGTCAACGATTCCCTCTCTCCTACCCCCCACCCCCCCCGCTCGCGCGCGTCACCTTTGCCGGCTGTTTCCTGTACGAGCCAGGTGCCTGCATTTACCGGACAATGTCTTAGTGGTGCCTATTGCCACGTGTCCTTGGGACACAGTACGGCGATGGCCACGGCCACGTTTTTCGGAGCCAGCGAGCTGAAAAACGGGCTGCTGAGACTGTTCGAACACAGCGCTGACGGTCTTCAGGCTTTGGAAGCGCTTGGTGACGCTGGTCAAGGGCAAGAATTGTCGCTAAACGAGATTGCCTCTCTGCCATTCCCATCGGAAGCGGCGTTCGTCCAGCAAACCCACCTCTGCGGCGTAGGCAGTGAAAACTCAACCGCTGGCGCTGACGACGAGGTATGTGTTGATGAACGCCCCGTACTTCAGTATTGTCATCTCACGTTTCACACGCCGGTCATAACACCGCCAAGCAGCGTTGTACTGGGGAGCAGGCTAGACAGCATGTCGAGCTCTCTCTACAAGACAGAAGCAGCTCACCCGACAGAGGAGACTATTGAGGGCTTGGCGGCGGTCCAAGAGCATTGCCGAATCGCGTTCCACGGACGCTTGGTGTCGCTGTCAGCTGGTGTGGACGGGACGCGCAAGGGGTCAGGCGATGCAAGAGCCGCGCTGGAGTTCGGGACACAAGCCGGGCAACTGAAGCTGTTCACGGAGAAGTGTAAAACCGGAGTTGTGTTCCGCGTGGCACCCAATGATCAGACAGGGGGAGGCGCTGTGGAGGTGTTTGGGAAGGACCTATTCAAGAAGGAGACCAACATGCCGCCGTTCGTGGGCATGCTTTTGCTGACAGAGGTGCGAGTATAACATGAAACTGGACGGAGGGACCCATGGGTTCAATGATCTACACGGTAAAATTGCTAGCGTCATCGGGAGGGAGGGATCGCACATTGCAGCGTGGATGTTTCGCCTGCTGTCGGGATATTTCCGCACGAAGACTCGTCCGTCCGCATGGTTGCGAGTTTCCTTGGGAGACATATTCGTTGGTCGATCCTGGCGGGTTGAAAGCCGATTCCAGTTCGGTGTAAACCAGCGCCGAGCTTACCACTTTGTCGATAACAAGCAACTCCATGTAACAATGTAAATCTGTTCCTTTGTGCCGCTCCCATCCGGGGACCCCTTCTTGAAGGGCGGCAGCGTCGGCCATCTCGAGAGCACATTCGGAAAGGCAGGGAGGTTTAAGGCCCGCTTTCCTGCGGGTACCTCGGTCAAGGTGAGTCTGGCGGCGCTTTCATCTGCAGAACCAACCCACTCGCACGAAACTCTACTTTAGAGTGGGGCTCAAATCCTCGTCGTGACGCCATGGTGGGAGATGAGCCTTGCAGTCGAAAGGTCCGCATGCCCAGATAGTAGCGCACATCGCTGAGCAGATGTTGTGCACAACATTCTCACGCTCCTCTAAAAGGCTGAACCTCACCATAGTTTTGGTATTGACACAAATTAATACAGTAGTGTTAAGAGAGGTTGTACAGATCGTGCTGGAAATGAACCCTGTGCAATTGTTTCTCAGCACAGTTGCTGTTCGGTTCGAGAACGTTCGCGTGTGTTGAACTGATTGTCCGCCTTGAAATAAGTTGTGCCACGACACGTAGGTTGATTGCTTCCTATTTGCTACACCTGTTGACTGAAATTGATTTTGACAAAGCAGGGCCCTGACAGCAGGCAAGCGAACTGTCCGCTATGGAATGTCCACACCTGTCGTTCAGCTGAATCGGACGGAATAACCACAGCAGTGTGCCTACCCGAGTACGTCATTGCGGTCGTTCCACTTGTGCCCATAACGCCGTCTTCGCGTTTTTATCGGTCCGGTTTCGGCGGCCGCAGGTCGGGGACAAGCTCATCCTGAAGTTCCGCAAGTATTTCCGCGACCCTTCAAAGCGCATGCATCAAGGCTATCTGCGAGAGGCTCTCGAACGACATCCCCATCAACCGACTGAAGGGGCGCGTACCGCAGATAACCCGATGAGTGATGACAAGGACCACGACAACCATGACGAAGGCGCACCAGGACCTGCCGCAGCAACGACCACCGGCGTGGAAGAGCCAGCGGCGCAAGAAACACGCCAAGAACCACCGCGTCCTCATTTGCGCGATGGAGTTGTTGACAGCGTTAAAGAAGGAGTCGCCGACGACGAGCCGGTGGTCATCGCGTTCGTTTCCGGGCTCTTCTCACAAGAGGAGGACATCCGGGAGATGGCCAAGAGGGGGATGTCCGTGCGCATAGAGACGGGAGGCTTGGTGGGTCGCCTCAAAGGCCCCTTCGGGAAGCTGGGCAAGTGCAAGGTGGTGTTTGAAAGGGAAGAAGGTGGCTATCTTCGACCCGGTGAGCGTGTCTTCGTCCCAGGATGACGCCATATATATTTTTTCATAAGGAGGAAACGGAAGATGCTCGATTATGGTCCGGCTTGATTCCCGGGACTTGCCGCGCGCGTCAAGATTGAAGGCCCTGACAGCGCTTTCCGGTCGTTGCAATTGCATCCTTCGCACATGGAGCGTCCAATGAATTCTTTCATGTCAAGAGTGGTCAAATCGCCTCCGCAAAAGGCCGCAATTGCCACAGAAACACTCGGACCCGACATGAGCCCAAGGAGCAATACAAGCGGTGCACCTACGAAGATCGGCCAGGCGTTCATGCACTCAAGCTACAACCCCAACATGCGAAAACATCGACAGCGGGACCAAGACTGGTCCCCTTTCTCATATCCTAGAATAGGACGCCCTTGGATAGGAAGGACACCATGAGATCGACTTGCGAAATAGATCGCCGTCTCCTTCCTGAAGAGGACGTTAGATCAGCCTTGCCAGGCTCCAATGATGGACTTCTCGCGTCCAAACCGGCCGCAGTATACCTACGCCCGATGCCCGCCCCTGGGTTCCACGGCGATTGTTGCAGTTGAAGGGCTTCTCACTCCACCTGATGTTCCAAACCCGACCGGTAGTCCTGGAGGCCATCGCGCGACGGGTTTAGGCGGGTGACGTGTGGTCGTGGACAGTCGTGTTCCGTATTCAGGCCATTCGATACGATTGCATACGAATTTCTCAATGCCAATGGAGTAGGAGATGAAACGTTGAAATCGGAAATGAATTGAGTACCCAGGCGTGCAGAAGTCACGATCGATTCTTCGCGAAACATGAAACTCTTTCACTTTTCATGCCCAAACCAAGCGCAACGGACGAAACTAAAATGGTGCAAATATTGTATAATGTGAGCAACAAGGTTTGCCAGGCCCAACACCGGGATGCTGCAGGTCCAGCCGAATCGGTCATTGGCTGACGGTTCGCCGATCTTACACATATGCCTGCGGGGCCGCTTGCGTTTGGAGATTCCCAAAAGATGGGGGAAAACACTTCTTTGTCCACGCCCCTGGCCTTCGCGCTTTCACTATGACAATCCAACCTGAGGATACCCAGGCAGAAGTGCCCCCTCACCTCGACCCAATGCAAGCACTTTTGCAGCACGCGCTGTTCTCCCTTCCGCAGGAGCTCCACGGCTGCGGACCTGTCCTCCGGCACGATTGTTCGCTCCGTGCCCCCCTCTTCTTCCCCTCCTTCCCTCCCCGTCTCGTTGTTGGGGTCGGGAGGCGTGTGGGATGCTTGAGCTTCCCGGGAGACAGGGCCGTTGCAGGACGCGTGGGCCGTGGAGGGGCCCTCTCGCTCTTTCAGCATGCCGGCGAGGGCGTTCCAGAGAACGTCGACTACAGCCGCTTCGTTCTGGTGGGACACGAGCCGGTTCCAATCAGCGCGGGCGAAAAGCGAGGACATTGCGCGCAGGAGGATTGAGACAGAGGCGTTGTTCCAAACGTAATGTTTGTGTGCTTGGGGTTGTCGACAGAGGGTCATTGACCTGTTCTACAGCAGTCCATTTATCGGATAATTTCGTGCGCATGATACGCAAGGGGCCAGTCCAGGATTGAAAAATATTGTCAATTTGGAGGTTGTCAGCTCACCCTTGCGCCCAAGCTCTCTCCCCAAGGGGTTTCTGCGGCGACCTTGAGCTCCGTTTCCGTGGCCCTCTGTACTCGCAGCGCTGGCAGCAAGAGCGGGTCCAAACCTCTACTGGTGAGGAAGAACGGCCGCTTGGAAGGGTCCACCCCGTTGTCTAACATAATCTGCTTTCGGCGGGAGGGGTTCGGGGCAGGGGAGGGGGGACGCACGCTGTTGCTATCGGTGCTGTCTTGTCGTCCGAGTAACCGGCACATAGCAGGGGCAGCAGACACCCGAGCATGTCGCTTGCCTGCCTGCTCCATGTCGTGCTGAAACCTCCTCTGCGTGCTGTGGTGTTTCGTGGGACAGCCAGGCCCAAAGTTCCCCCCCACCCCCGAAAACATCTGGTACTACGGACAACAACCCACGACCTGTGCACGTCTCATTTCCTCGATACCTCCGTTCTTCCATCTCCCATGAGGCCACCGCCGGACACCCTGCTAGCTTGAATTTCGATTTTATTTGACACCCGCAAAACTTTTTCGAAGCGAGCTCGCAGCTGTAGCGAAGCGGCCCAAAATTTTGGGGAAATTTTGGGCTGCCATCTTCCCTCCCCGGTCCTACACCGACCTTGCTCTTTTCGGCGAAGCCAGGTGCCCCGGGCTCCATCATCGCCCACAGCTCCACCGATTCAAACGGGTTGTCCGGGAGGCAAAACCCGTGCAACAGTAGCAGGCGGGAGTTCGGGAGCGGGCCGTAGCTGAACTTCACCTCGGAACCGGAGGCCCAATCTTGCAGGGTCACGAGGTGGAGGCAGTCGTTGGACTCTTGATATCCGTGCACCGTCGAGGATAAAGGGCCGTGGTTGAACATGTCGAACACCTGGGCACAGGTTTGGGAGGTTCAATAGACATCAACGCAGACCATTCTTGGTATGGTAGGGTAAGACACAAAAGCGTTTGACATGAGGGAAACAACAGCAACGACGACTGCAACAAACACTATGGTTAAGCGACGGGATTTCGGTTCATGCCTACAACTATCGACGGACTGGAGCGTATCTTTGTCCGGTTTCTGCTTGCGGACAGTGGCAAGGGCAATACGTGTGGTCTTTGTCCAAAAAACACTTACCGGGGCCATGGCCTTCAGCGCGCGCCCCGCCCGCTCCACCGTGACAAAGCGGCTCCACACCTTTTGAGGAGAATCCAGGGAGGTTCCCGAGCGGCAGGTATGGGTGGAGATATGTGCATGTTCGGCACGATGATTTGGACAAGGGTTTTCGGGTATGGTCGGTATCGATTTGTGGCACAGGGTGGTCATTCAGAATACAGGAACATGCTCGAAATACGGCAAATTTCCTGAGAGATGGGGCATCAAATACGGCACGGAACCGCCTCCGGAAAAGCATCTTGGAGAAATCCTGCAACCGTGATCAAGGTGCACACAGCGCGCTGCTGTACAAGACACGCTTTGCGTACGAGTGTCTCCAGATATGCCGTGCCGACGTGGGCCTCGCAGACACGAAAACGCGGCCAACCGGAGCGCGCGACCTTCCACAAGACACATCACTGCACACCTTGCATCGATCGAACCTCACTGTGTCGACTTATCGGTGCAGTGTTGGTCACACGGCGGCATGTCTTTTTACGCCCGCACCGTTCGCGTCACGCACCGTACCAAGTGCCCAGAGGTACTCTTCCTTGGTGAGAAAACCTTCGAGCACGTCCCGCACCGTAGAGGAGCCGCCCTCTTCCGAACGTGGCGAGGAAAGCGGCAACGCCTCGAGCTCCCGAAAGTCGGTGTCCACCTGGGCTTTCCACTGCACCGTCACCGCGTGTAGGCTCGTGCCGCGCAACGGCTCCAGCTCGTCGTCTATTGGTTGCGGGTGGGGTCAGGGTTTGGGATACACAGATGGTGTCAACACGTTAAAACGATCTATTATCTAACAAGAGGCTCGAGGTTCTTACTTTCTCTTGGGGTTAACCAATATTTTCAAAGGCGTCACTTCTGTTGGGTGGGTGTCTCGGTCTGGTACTGGAAAATGAATACGAACACTCACTTTGTCGAGTTGCCCAATCATCAAGTGCTTGTGGGAAGGGCCAATGGCTAGGGTTAACAACTTAAGCGGCGCGGGGGGGGTGAGGTGAGTGTGGGCTGGGCCCTGGCGTTCGTTAGTGGCCACACTGACTCCCGAACCGGGGTACCCGGGTGGGGGGGGCGAGGGGTCAACCACATGACAATTCATGATCAGAGGGTTGGCCTCTTTTTCGCTTGCTTCGCGACTGACTAAAAGCATCCTCACCCACAACCGGCTCATCTCCAGCTCCGCATACACAAAACAAAGCCCAGCAACACTTGTGCATAGTTTTCTAGCCCCTTAAACTAGGCACACGAAATACACCACCCGTACCGGAGTAAAATATGGTCTGGTGGTACTCTCGCGGGAGGACATCCATGTGCCCCTTGAGCGGAGAGCGTTCTTTCAGGATGTGGCGGTGGTAGAGGAGGAGGAGGCAAAGCACGTCGTCTTCCCTTGCACCTGCCTCCATCAGGCCCTCGAACGGCGTGCCCTTGGCGCTGTCCACGGTCATGAGAGCCTTCGCGAGCGTCGCGGACATGGTAGAGATGGTAGAGAAACGTAGGGGGGTGGTTGGACGGGCAATAGTCCGATTACAGGGTCCTACGACAAACAGCAGTCATGAGGTTCGTTGTGGATAAGAAAGCGAGAATCTTTCGTTTGCGTGGTTCGCGGAGCGCGAGGTTGAAGGTTTCCAACCTCGAACAACGTGAATACTGGGGCCACACGGGCAGACCGGCGTGACAGAATCAACATGTCCCAGCCGTTTGATTTCCCAAACAACAAAACTATTTCCTCCTTGCATTCTCAGCAAACTCACCGCACCTGCAACGAAAGCAAACAAAAGCAGGTGGCGGGAAACTGGGCTCGCTCGCTTGCTGTGTTCCTCCTGTACTCATTTCGTTGCCGGGTGTGTGTGCGTGCGCTCAACGTCGTGCATGTTGCGTAAAATGCGCAGCAGGAGGTTTCACTATTTAGCACAACGACCACCGCTATCTGGTTGGTCAAGGTTCCCCCAGAGCTCAATGATAATACCCGTTCCCTCTGCAGAGTTACAGTCCCGACGTGGTGATAAAGCGTCACCAGCGGGGGTATTTTTCTCTCTTCACATGTTGCGAGGAGTAGCCAAGCGCGGCCGAGGTTATTCGGACGTGCTAAAAAGGATAATGAACGAAGGTGGAAGTGATGGAGAGAGGGCCCTCGTGGGCATCTATCTCCACATCTCCGAGATTGACCGGAATGGTCACTGCTGCTGTGTTCGGTGAATCTTTCTTGATGAACACCGTCGGAGCGGTAGAACATTCTTCGTAGTCTCCATGTTTTCACTGGCTGCATATGTGTCCCGACCCTAGGAGATACTTTAGTCTATATCCTGGTTTCCATATCATCAAAGATTGCGTAAAAATCTACCAGGATGGATGCCACAAATGAGGCGCACCAACTATCGCCGCGCCTCACAAATGTACGCGGGGGACGCTTGCATCACGTGAACACGTGTGCAACAAGGTATCTCCGGTGCCACCCTTCACAAACTGCGACATGCTGCAACCAACACCACCGCAAGGGTTGAGCCTCTCTCAAGCCTCGACTCTCTCAGGTTCGCTCCTCGCTCTCGCACTGCTGGTTTTATCTCTGAACTGCGAACCGCACTGAAAACCGCACGGAAGTTGGTGGGGATCATATTTGATGCCATACGGTTTGGCTCATCCTCGTAAATAGTCTCGCAAGCAAGCAAATCTCTGGATTTCAAACCCGGCAGCACCGCTATCCTGGTGCCTGCGTACCACACCGTACACGCGTACAGCACGGACTTCGGCGGACAAAGGCAGTCACGTATTCGCATACTGCCTTTGACCACGGACTCCAAAATCCCACCGGTAAACAGCATGGAAAAAACAGGTATAGAGGGTTTGCGTCTTGTTTCCCTCTTCGCGCTCTCCAATGTTGGCCAACCTTCTGGCAAACACCACACACGTACCTATGGATGCTTGTTTGAAAATTTGAACTGGGCGCAACAACGTTTTGGTTCATGTATTCACCCACCTCCCACGGCACGGACACGACAATTGTCTCCGCTGGGATATTCTCCTCGCAAAATACACCCCTCTCCTCCTTTCCGGGCGTGGAAGACACTCGCAAGGGGTGGTGGACAACTACCCCGAGCTCCTCCTGTGCCCACTCAAGGTAACCTTCAGCAGGCGAGTTGCTGCCTTCTGCCATGCTGTTGTCGCTTATTTCCTTCTTGCTGGATACTAGTGTTTCTTAGCGGAGACGGCTGCCGATTCTGGACAGATGTGCGGGCTGAAGAATGCTGTCACCGTGGCAGCAGTAGCCGACGAAATAGCCCAGCGGCTGAGAGAGGCAACGCAGCAGCAGTGGGTGGAGGAGGAGCGCGACGGAGCGGCGAAATGTGGAATGCGGGGAGTTCCGCTGAAGATAATTATCAAAAAGGGGGTTAACTTCGTCCGCTGGGCCCCACAGGTTCGCAGCCAGTCGCAGCGCAGGCCGTGCGCCCTGCGTGCTGCGCCACCAGCACAGCGGTGTGTGGTGTGTCACGGTAGACCCAGCGTACGCCATGAGCGTGCCAGGGCCTTCTCTAGGCGTGGGGGAAGCGGTAGTCATGACCGCCCACGCCGTGCACAAAAAAACGCCGGGGACGATATGGTTTACGAGTCGGAGGGCCTTGTGGAAAGCCGCCGATGGCAAGGCTGCTGTGCAGCGAGTCGAGGTTGCGTGGGCGGCAGTTAAGAGCTTCCAGGTGGGCGGTGTAGTGTGTGCTGTCTAGTTTTAGAACCTGGTTTGCTCGTGTGTTTGTGCTTTCATTTTGAGGTTAGGAAGGTGGCGCGAGTTTTCTCCCCGCTTGGAACAAATCCCTCAAGAAGCTTCCTTCAATCCTACTTACAGCAGTACTGCTATTAAGGAAAATAAATAACACGTACTGATGTTCTTGCTTGTGCTGAGCGACGGCGGTGTTACTTCTACCGTAGTAGTCTTAGGCCCATTATGCTTTTTTTCTTCTTATTTTATGCTCCTTTTTTTGGCGAAGCATATGCTGANAAGCCGGAGGTGTTCTGTTGTTGTCTTTTGCTGGGTACATTGGCTGAAATTGACTGTTTTTCCTCCAAAAAAATGGGCAAACGGCAAGAGCGGCCGTTAGCTTGCAATACACTATTAGACCTTTGATTGCTCTTCATCATCCTCATCATCATGCTCTTCGTTTCGAATGTCGAAAACTCTCGACTCCT